GAGGAGGCGCAGATGTGTTAGGAATGGAGAGAATAGACAGGAGTGAAACATTTCCACAGCATAAAGCAGCTGGTCTTATCTTTGATAGATGGGGAGATGGATATCTAGCATTATTACATGTTATTGTTTTCTTGTTATTCCGTACACCTAGGACAACCTTTCCCTCGACTTAACAAACATTGTCAACTCTTTCAAATAGCTCCTGATTCCTGCCCTTGTTTTGGGAGGCTTCCCTCTTCAGAGGAAAACTGGGAGAATCCGATTTTCACTGCTTCCTTTTCCTGTGCCTTTCTCACGCTCAAACCCAGAACGCCTTAATGCTCTCCAGCTTGTGTAAAAATTCGGTCTATACTTAAAAATGTGTGCACGGTACACTGCTGACCATGGGCATGTCTGTTTGTATCTGTAATGTGTATGTCCATTTCAGTGTTGTCTGTTTTAGTATGCAGGTGATAGACTAGAGAACAAGACCTCTGTCTCCGTAGCATCCTGGGTATGTGAGCATTCAATAAGTACTTTCATGGGAATGAGTTTTGTTCTTACACTTAAAAATGTGCTTGCTTTTTTTTTTTTTTAATTTAAAAATATATTATTACTCTAAACCAAGGCATGGGGAGTAGTTTCAAGGGTGATTCTGAGATAATTCCTTTCAAAACAATCTTTCTTATTTGTAAAGTCTGACATCTTCTTTCTTCAACTTTTAAACAGAGCAGTCTGAATGCCAGAATGGATAACCGTTTTGCTACAGCATTTGTAATTGCGTGTGTGCTTAGCCTCATTTCCACCATCTACATGGCAGCCTCAATTGGCACAGACTTTTGGTATGAGTATCGAAGTCCAGTTCAAGAGAATTCAAGTGATTGGAATAAAAGCATCTGGGAAGACTTCATTAGTGATGAGGCAGATGAAAAGACTTACAACGATGCACTTTTCCGATACAACGGCACAATGGGATTGTGGAGACGGTGTATCACCGTACCCAAAAACACACATTGGTACAGTCCGCCAGAAAGGACAGGTATTCCTCTTATTTTCACTTCTCTCTAATGTACTTGCTTAGTAGCATAAAGTGATCTATGATTGCTGAATTATATATAAGCAGATTTGTGGGCATCTTACGTCTTCTTATGTCTCTTCTCTCCCTACCACCTCTTCACCCCAACTTCTATGCATTGCCATGCTACTCCTTTAGTTCTCCATTCAGATCTTTAGAGCACTTTGTAAGGGACAACTTTACAATTTACTTATGACTACTTGGGTTGGTCGCTTAGCGGAGGAGCTTTATCTTTCAATCATAGCAGAACAGGTTTGAATTGCCATATATCAAAAGTGATAGTATATCATTATATATGAAGAAAAGGAAATCATGTGAAGGAAAGGTGGAAAAGTTGGTCACAATTCACTGTAAAATGTTCACTTGTGTTTAGGAGGGCCTGGAGCACTTGATACTGGAATCCTACTAGTTGTTAAGTCATTTATTCACTGAGTATTTACTGCCTGCCCCTGTGTTCCAGGGCTTTATAGCTTGGAGAACAAATCCTTAGTTGTGGGGAGCTGTCATTTATTAGAATGCTAAGGGTGGCAGGCAATAAACAGAATAAAGGAGTGTAACAGTATAAACAAAATAATTATACAGTGTGTGAGATGACGACATTTAACATGGAAGAATGAAGCAAAAGATTTGGAAATACAGGAAAGGAATATTGTAAGCATAGGTTATGATTTTCCATAGGATAATTAGAATAGATTTCATTGATAAAATGATAAAGACTTGGTATAGGTAAAGACCAAATAAGGGTGTTAACTATATGGGTAGTTCGTGGCAGCAGGGCAGAGGCTGGTGGTGATCATTAAGGTTGGAAGGAACAAGGGCTACAGAGACTGTGGCAGGAGCATGGTTAAAGTATTCAAGGACCACCAAAGAACCTACTGGGCTGCCATGGAAGGAGTGGGGGAGAGTTGGGTATGCTGTCAAAGATGAACCCTTAGGTAGGAGTAGGGCACATCATACAGTACTCTAGCTATGATGTGGAGGTGAGTTTTTACTCTTGACTACATAGGAAAGCCTTTAGAGCAGGAACACTTAGAGGAGTGGAAAGACGTGATCTGGTTGCCCTGGATGATATAGTGAGAACAGGCGGGCAGCAGGCAAGGATGAAAGCTAGGGCACTCATTAGGATGCTAATGCTGTCATTCATATGAGAGGTGATTGTGACTCAGTCCGTTGTAATAGTGAGCAACAGCTGGATTGTGGATATATTTTGAAAGAAGAACTTCTAGTATTTCCAGATGGTGTTTATATGGACAAGAATGGCTGGAAAGTTTCTTGTCTGAGGAGCTGGATGGGTGAAATTTTTTGCTGAAATGGGAGCCATGACTTCACTAGTTGTGGGGGGAAGAGGATAAAGTTTCTATTATTTCAATCTTTGTACTCTCCCCTTCTTCCTGCTCTTCTTATATTGCTATTTGATGATATTTTACTCCTTTTATTTCTTCCTCATGCGTGTATCCTCAGAACCAGTGGCATCCATTGGGCTTTGATAAGACCTGTTTCAGGTTGGAACCAAAGAAATTCATGGTGATATTTTTTTACAGCACCTTTTATTTCAGAGAATAATTACTAAAAGAGATTATTGTTAAATGTTTGTAATGGAAACTACAAACAGTCATTGTTTTTTTCCAGAGTCATTTGACGTGGTTACAAAATGCGTAAGTTTCACACTAAATGAACAGTTCATGGAGAAATTTGTTGATCCCGGAAACCACAATAGTGGAATTGATCTACTTCGGACCTGTGAGTATTTTGATCTCAGTAGGACGATTGAGGGAGAAGGGAAATAATTTTGTATTGTATTTAACTCTGCTTTTGGAACAAGATGAGGTAGTAGTGTCATATTGAAATAAGATCCCAGGAGCTGGCATTGTGGTATAGCACGTTTGGCTATGGCCTGCTTTGCCAGCATCTCCTATGAGCGCTGTTGAAGTCCTGGCTGCTCCACTGTCCAAAGAGCTTCCTGCTGTTAATGTGCCTGGAAAAGCAATGGATGATGGCCAGTCCTTGGGACCCTGCCACCCAGGTCGGAGAGTTGAATGGAGTTATAGGCTCCTGGCTTTAGCCTAGCCCAACCCCAGCTGTTGGGGCCATTTGGGGAGTGAACCAGCAGATGGAAAATCTCTCTCTTGCTTACAAATAAATCACGTAAGTTTGCAAAAAAAAAAAAAAAAAAAAAAAAAATCCAGTGACAGTTCTGTTCTAATAACAGCAACTTATTTTAGAAGGTAGATACCTACCAAATTTCCATGAGTTGAACTTGAGGGAGGCAGTTGATATAATTGGGTAGTGGAATCCAAACTTCCAGAAGATTGATGGACTCATTTAATTAAGAGAAAATTTAGTAGGAATTACTTAATTGACAGGCATGTTGAAAAAATTGGCTGCAGGCTCTAATTGAGTAACTTAGTATCAGGCCTACTGAAAGTGTTCATCCAGTCTTAGGTCATAGTACCAACAGTGCAGATGAAAAGAAAGGAAAGTGTTTATTAGGAATGTTCTGTTCCTTTATGGTCAGGCTGCCTGTGAAATGCAAACTTTTGAGTTTTGAGCTTCAGTTTTAGGGTTATAGAAACCTGGGGGAATGATTGTGTTATGAGGAGAAACATTCAGTAACCTATAGGTGTTCAGTTTTACTATGAGATTGCATAGGAAGATGTTTATTACTAACAATTTGAAGTTAATTAGAAGAAAGGCTTTCACAAATTTCTAGAAAGTAAAACCAACTAAAAAAGTCATTAAAACTGCCATTTATATAGCATCTGGTACATTCCACATACTCTTTGTTGTGCTTTGTTGTTTTTCAATGGCCATGCAAGCACCGTTCCGTTTCCACTGCCTTTAGGTCCTGTAAGGACCCTAGATATTGTTTGTATGTGGAAGTAGACTTTTTTTTATTTACATTCTGATTCTTCTACTTACTGTATTTTGTACAAGCTATTTATGATGCCTTTTGCCTTAGTAAATAGAGAAGATAGTAATATGTTCTTTCTAAGGTTGTGGGGAGGATTAATAGGCAAAGCATATAAATAGAACAAATGATACATGGCATGCACTAAACCTTTATTAATTGTAACCTATTAGTGGCCTTGTACTTTTATCAGTGCAGAGTTAGCATCCTTTTGAACAATGTGCTTTAGGAAATGGCCTTGATACTAAAATACCTCTTTCTTTTTGAGAGAAGATCTGCTTAGAATATGAAGTAATTGTCATTGTGGGGAAATGTCATGAAATAGAGGTAACAGTATTATTCTTTTTTTAACAATCAGATCTTTGGCGTTGCCAGTTCCTCTTACCTTTTGTGAGTCTGGGTTTGATGTGCTTTGGGGCTTTGATTGGACTTTGTGCCTGTATCTGCCGAAGCTTGTATCCCACCATTGCCACGGGCATTCTCCATCTCCTTGCAGGTGGGTCTTGACATCGTACTTACCTTTTGACTTCTTCCTGTGTCTTTAGGGCCCAAAGAGTTATAATTCAGAAACATTCACCTTTTACTGCTCGATTGAATTACATGCAGAGCTCTTGACAGTGTTCTTACCTAGCCATATTTTGTTTTGTTTTCTAAATTTCCCCCAAGGTCTTTGTACACTGGGCTCAGTAAGTTGTTATGTTGCTGGAATTGAACTACTGCATCAGAAACTTGAGCTGCCTGAGAATGTGTCTGGTGAATTTGGATGGTCCTTCTGCCTGGCTTGCGTCTCAGCTCCCTTACAGTTCATGGCTTCTGCCCTCTTCATCTGGGCTGCTCACACCAACCGGAAAGAGTACACCTTAATGAAGGCGTATCGTGTGGCGTGAATGGAAACTGCCTGCTTTACAATTGCCATTTTTATTATTTTTTAATATTGACATTTTACCTGGCCTCCCTCCCAGTTTTTAATTTTAATCTTCTTTGTGGATATACCATTTTATCTGGAAAATCCATTTAATTTATACATATATGACACTAGATAACAATACCACTAAAATGTATGTGGTTTATTCTGAGTGATTCTGTCATTTAAACACACTAATCTAAGTTCAGAGTCCAGATACAAAGACATGGATAGAGACTTGGCACAAATTTGTGAAAGAAAATTGGCAGCAGCAAATTGACCCAGAACAAATTCTGCTGATGCCTGTTAGCAGGAAAAGTAAAGTAACTACATCTTTACAGCTAGAAACTTTTCAGTTTCTTTGGGAAACCTTTTGTTATTGTTAGAACTTCATGTTTACTTTGCTGTTGTAGATAGCTAGTCAACCAGTGGTATTAGGGTATTTTCAGACCTGGGCTCCATAAAGCTGGGAAGCTATCTAAAATCCTTTTCCCTAGACATTGGCACATGAGTTCCTTTGAAGTGAGATGTAGCAGCTGTTTATACTTACACTGTGTCTGCCTATAAGAAAAGGGAAAAATACAGTGTTTACTTACATTTAATTTTGTAACTGTAAGAATTTTAATTCAGCCAGACAAGAAGGTTGATCTTATTTTATTATTTAGATCTCTTCATTAGGATTTTCAGTGCTACCAAGCCACTTTGAATTTTTGCTCCTTCCCTCTTCACGCTAGGTTTTTGAAGAATGTGTTCTTTTTAACTTTACATTAAGATTTCAGAGTAAATTCCCCAACTGCTTTTATTTATTCCAAGTACCATACAGAAGTGTCCACCACAAAGACCCTCCAGAGCTGGGTAAACTACCACAAGATCTAAAGCTTTATCCATTAACCTCCAAGAATGGTCTTTATTTCTTGTGGTGAAATTATGTGCCTTTCCTTGCCTAACCCCTTACTGGTTTGTGTCAACATTATTTAATGTCTTCTAATTGAGTCATTTTTTATAAATATGTCTAAACATTGAGCTTTTAAAAATTCATTTATTCCATTACTGTAGCACTTGACAGATTTAAAAAAATGTAACTTAGTAATTTCTTACCATATCCTAAATCTGTCTTTTTTAAAAAAATAAAATTAAAAATGAGAAGAGACTCAAATAATTGTGTATGGAGTATCTGAATTGATTTAAACCTCAGTACTGTAGGATAAAGTAGTGGAGGAATCAGAAAGAAGATCTCTGTGGGTCTTAATAGAAAATGCTCTATTGCTGTACGGATCCATCTTTATGTCTTGTGTTGTAGACTGTTTTATGTTCCAGAAAATGTGGGAACCCTTTCCCCCAGTAGAAGAGAATATTTATCTTACATATTTTGGAATTTTAAAGCATGTTTTCAAGCTAGGTTTGTGATCTCTATCACATTAAGGTGGCTGGTATCCTATTACATCATTGAATGGCTGTGGATGTTTGTGTTCTATATGGAAAAAATGATCAAGTCAATGTCAAACCTACTGATTCTTATCTCTCGCAGTTTCCTTGTCCTTTGACACCTTCTGTGGAAGATAGATAGGACGAAGCCTAAGTGAGCAAACGAAACTTTTGGGAATGGGACTTAAGCATAATTGACAGCATGACACTTTTGGGAAGTCAAAAAGTGTCCTGTCTTGTTACCCCCAGAATTGCCTGATGACTCCATCCAAACCAGTCTTTAATGTACGTTGTGGAAATAGTTCTAACTGGTAGTATCATTAGGCATAGAAAGTGAGCATTGTAACTCTTGTTCCTGAATCTGTGTTGTGATTGGTGTTTATAGCACATTATTGAATAGCTGAGGTCAGCTCTCTTGCAAAAACTCTTCTTTGTAATATATAAGGCCATATTTTTTTTAACGTGAAAGTGCAGTTTTTCTGCTGTCTCATGGTTCTCATTGGTTGAGCCATGTGATACTGCTATCTAATGATTTTTGATTCACCTAATAACATAAATTCAATGGTAAAGTAAATCCTGTTAATTTCTTTCCGTTTAATCTTTGAAAGCAATGCTGTTTAATCTTTGAAAGCAATTCCCAAAGTAAAAATAACTTCCAGATATTTCAGAACATGAGCTTTATGATAACTTGAGACATGTGTTTTAAGACCATAATTTTATAGGCCTAATTAACTGAATGATGGAGATAAACATCTTCTATATGCTTTTTAGCAAAAGACCCATTTCAGAATTTAAGGATGGCCATAAAACCACCAAAATTTGGTACAGTAAAAAGGCAGAATAATTCTTAAAAAAATTATTTTTTTAGATAATAGTAAGTATGCCTACCATTTTATCATAATACACTAGGAACCCAGTGACTAGTAACCTGTTTAAAAAGCTTTACTAAGTCTTGAGGTGTCCTAAGGATTGAGGTGTGTTTGCATGTGTAGGAAGAGTCTTTAAACAGTTAGTGGAAAATGCATGTTATAAAATTGAATTTCCAAAATTTTGCACTAAAATAAACTTTTAGTTTCATTTTCCACCAACTTTTGAAGTACTCTGGTGGGGGGAGTGTAGAATATGGTTGGTAAACCACTTAGAGGTGAGCCATCCGTTGTTTAGTCACATGATTGAGGAGAAAGGAGAAAGGGGTATGCTCATATAAGTCAGTTTGTTTTTGTAGTCTAGAAACAACAACAAATTGCAGACTGGCACTGTTTAAAGAGCCAATCCTGTCCCACTGACTCTAAATATATAGTGTGAGGGTATTTTAATTAATCAGCATGTAAGCTTTCACCTAAAATGAAAATAACTGTTAAATTAACTTGACTTTGCAGATAGCAGCACCTCCCTACGTTTCCTAGCAGCTGAAAGAGCAGCTAATGGGTGCAGTTCTGAAGATGCAGATTGTTACTTCACAAGCGGATGCAGCTCTGTCCTGGCACAGATGGGTGGAGTCTTTTGTCCTCTTTTCAGCTTTCTTCTCATAAGTGAATAATGATTCATCCCTTAATATGAGAGGAACAAAACAAGAGAACACATTTATGTTCAGGAATTCTTTTTCCATTGCTCATCAGGTGTTCTGACACTATTTTGATGAGATGCATTTTCCTCTAAGGTCAGAATATAGGTATGTGTTAATTTCCTGTAAATTTGTGATGTGAAATCCTAAATTGCCAGAATAGAATGAAGATTTACCCCATGGACATTATCATAGGGTCATTAAATTCTCTTCAGTGCCAGATTATCTACTGGTAAAATTACTGTTACTCAACATATACACACTTTTAGTAAACTTGAGTAAAGCTAGATACAATTTATATTACTTGCTCTTTACCTTTGGAGAGGTTTAGAAATGCAAAATGAGAGAATCTTTCCATTTGGCTTCACCTTTTTTTTAATATCTGAGTTAATGAATAATGAGTGTTAGTGTCTCAGCATATGAGCTTCCAGCCTTCCAATCTTCCAGCCTTCTGATCTCATTTTTTCCTTAACTTGTGTTGTTATATATTCACAATTCTTTTTTATTTTCTTGCTCTCCCAATTTTCCATGGCATCTTCTTTCATCATCTTTAGTTTTATCTGCATGGTCTGTGCTATACAGTTTCCTTATTCTCAACTTCAAAATACCAAGGATGACTGTTCAAAAATATAAGGTTGATTCTGTTGACAGTTGTGTTGTCTTGATGCAGGAAGTTAGCTTAGTAGTTAAGATGCCCATGAGCCATATTGGAGTACCTGAGTTTGATACCTGCCTCTGGCTCCTGACTCCATCTTTCTGCTAATTGAGATCCTGGAAGACAGCAGTGATGGCACAGATAATTGAGTTCCTGTCACCCATGTGAGAGACCTAGAGAGACCATGTGAGAGACTCCAGGCATTTGCTTGGCCAAGACCTAGCTGTTGCAGGAATTTGGGGAGTGACCAATTAGATGGGAACTGTCTGTCCCTGTTATTCTGCCTCAACTAATGCTTTTAAAAATGCTATTGTATTTTAACTGCTTAACAACTCTAATCATCTGTTGATTTATTACTACCTACCACACACTTTGCAAATCTCTATAAAAGCTAGTTCTTGGAAATTGTTTTTCCTTCTCAACTTCAGTAGAGGAAAGTTATGTCCTTTTTGAAAGGAATATTGGAATGGCCTCTTATATACAGCCATTATTTGATCCCCCCTATAAAGGGAATATATTATGTGATTGGCAAGATCTCTGGGGTCAGGGCATTCAGGAACTATAGTGTGGAGGTTAAGAATCCAGCTCAGGAGATAGAATCCTATATTCACAATCCCAGGTCCCAGGTCTGTCTCCTAGCATTTCTGTTCTCCCCTTTTCCCATCTGAGAAAAGCTGTGTTTGTCATACTTGCCTCATGAAGTTACCCTGAAGATTATGAAAACTGATCAGCACTAGTTATGACTGGCTGCATTATGAGGAGATGGGGCTACCAAGTCCCTAAAGTGGTTCTCAGCCTAAGCTATGTATTGGAATGCCCCAGGGAATGTGTTTATTTTGCTCACTTCTTTTTGTATTAAAATTTTTTAAGGTAAGCAAATTTCATGTATTTCATATATACAGATTTAGGAGCATAGTAATATTTCCCACCTTAGCCTCCCTCCTGCTCACAATACCACCCTCCCTCTTCCTTCTTTTCCCATTTCTTTTAATTTTTACAATGATCTATTCTCAGTCTATTTTATACTCACAAGATTAACCCCACACTAAGTATTCAACAAATAGTATGAAGAAAAAGACACTGTTCTTCAACAGTAGTGACAAGGGCTATAAACAAGCATCAAATCTCAGAATGTTAATTTCACTCATATACTACATTTTTTGGTACTTTATTAGTTAGCACAGATCAGGGCATTTTTGAAAATACTTGCCACTCAGAGAATCTGATTTAGTTTGATATGTAGTTAGGTCATTGCAGTGTTTTACATCTTCTCAGTTATTACAGTAGGCAGATAAGTTTGAAAGCTTTTCAAAGCCAGAAATAGAATTCTCTTGTCTTCCAGGCAGATTATTAGAAAGAGATGGTGGGCTGTGAGTAAACAGACCTGGCATAGTGCCTGCTTTATTTCTCCCATATATTCCAGCACCTCATTCTGCTGTCAGCTGGCATTTTGAGAAAGTCCCAAATCCATCACACCACTGCTGAATGGAGAAGTTTGAAGATTCAGCCTGCTGACCCAGTACACTTCAGTTGCTGGTTCTAAGGTTTGTATTTGGCAGGAGGTAATAGGAAGCCTCCCTTGTTTTGGCTTCAAGTCCAAAATACAAATCCCCTTATCCACAGGGAGTATATTTTCATGTGACCTCAGTATCAGATGCTATACAAGTCTATACTATGTTTTTGCCCATGCATACATTCCTGTGTTAAATTCTGATTTATAAATTAGGTACAGGAAGAGATAAACAATAATAATGAAGAATGAGATAGAGCAAGGATAACAGTACAGTGTAGAAAAGGTTATCTGAATGTGGTCTCGCAAAACACATTTGCACTGCAGGTAACCAACCATGGAAAGAGAAACTGGATGAGGGACACTACTTTCTCTAATTTAGTACTTTCAAGAATGCTGTAGTCTGGGGTGATTGTTCCTTGACAAAGTAAATATTTTTGTTCCCATCTGCTTATTTAATGGTGATCATACTCTTGGTTAAAACCAGGAAGGGTGGCTGGGTAGTAGACTAAGCCTCCACCTGTGGTGTTAGCATTCCCATAAGGTGCTGGTTTATGTCCTAGCTGTACCTCTTCTGATCTATCTCTCTGCTTATGGCCTGGGAAAGTAGTGGAGGATGTGGCTTGAGTGCTTGGGCTCCTGCACCCATATGGCAGGCCTGCAGGAGACTCCTGGCTCCTGGCTTTGGATTGGCCCAGCACTGTCTGTTGTAGCCATTGGGAGGTTGAACCAGTAGATGGAAGACATTTCTGTTTTTCCCTCTTTCTGTAACTCTGCCTTTTCAAATAAATAGGTAAAAATCTTAAAAAACAAAACAAAACAAAAAAACAGGAAGGAAAGAATTATTGACATGAATACAAATCAAATTGTTATAAGTTTTTCATTAAAGAGAACAAATTTGTTACATTCCATAGGTACAATTTTTTTAAATAAATTTCTTTTATTAAATACAAATTTTATGCATTTCATAGGTGCAGTTCCAAGAAGACAATCATACTTCTCCCACTCTCCTGCTCCCCTCATTCCCTACCTACTTCCCCTCTCTTAATCAGGTTTTGCAAAGACATACTATTAATCCATTCTATATTCACAGGCTTAACTTGCCTCTAGTCATAATATTCAACAAGTGAAAAGTAGGAAGACCACAATTCCGCAGGAGTATAAACAAGGGCTAAAAACAATCCTATCTCCAAATTACCATTTCATTTCTATGCATATTTTGGTATCCTGTATTAACTGCCACATATAGAGAAAACAAACGATGTTTGTCTTTTTGAGACTGGCTTATTTCACTAAGCAGAAGGGTTTGCACTTGCATCCATTTTGTTGCAAAAGATAGGATTTGGTTCTTTTTATGGCTAAATAGTATTCCATAGTGGTTGAATTGATTCCTTATTCATTACATAATGTTCTTCTTTGTCTCTTTAACAGTTTACTTTTAAAGTTTATTTTGTCTGATATTAAGATGACTACCCCTGCTTGTTTTAGCTTTCCATTAACATGGAATATCATTTTCCATCCTTTCACTTTCAGTCTGAGTGTATCTTTGTTGGTGAGGTGCGTTTCTTGTAGGCAGCTAATCATTGGGTCTTGTTTTTGAATCCATTTAGCCAGTCTGTGTCTTTTAATCAACTAATTTATGCAATTTACATTCAAGGTTATTGATAAGTAACAAATTGGTTTTACCATTTTTCCTAAATATTCCTATTGTTTGCTTTGGATTTCCTTTGTACTTTTATTAGATTTTCTGCCTTCAAATTCTTTCATAATGACGACCATTACTCTTTGTTTCTGTGTGTAGCACATCCTTAAGACTCATTTGTAAGGCTAGACAAGTGACAAATTCTTTCATAATGACAACCATTACTCTTTGTTTCTATGTGTAGCACATCCTTAAGACTCATTTGTAAGGCTGGACAAGTGGTGACAAATTCTTTCAATTTCTGTGTGCTTTGGAAGGTCTTTATTTCAGCTGTGCTGGGTACAGTATTCTGGATTGACAGTTTGTTTCTTTAGGACATGGACTATGTCTCTCCATTCTCTCCTAGCCTGTATGGTTGCTGATGAGAAATCAGCTGCTAGTCTAATTGGGGATACCCTGAAGGTAATCTGGTATTTCTCTCTCTCTCTCTCTTTTTAGCAAAGCAAGGTTTATTTAAACCAGAAACCTGTTGCAGTATCTTTGAAGGTGTTTCCAAGGGAGGCAGACCTGAGAAACTGGTCGAAGTGGAGTCTTTTAAGCACAATTTGGGGAATAGTGAATCAAAGGGCAGGGACAGAAACCAACGGAAAGGTCAGAACCGTAGTCCAGTCTAGCCTGCTCTTGATAAAACAGTCTTCAGAAGGGTGGAATAGGTAACTTCTTTCTATTCTCATAAAACTAGAAACTCAGAGGGGTGGGATTGGCACTTTTGCTAAAGGTAGTTTTTTGGGTGAAGTATATGTTTTGTATTCTTTTTTTTTTTTTTTTTTGACAAGCAGAATTAGTGAGCGAGAAAGAGAAAGGTCTTCCTTTTTCCATTGGTTCACTCCCCAAAAGGCCACTACAGCTGGCGCTGCGCCCATCTGAAGCCAGGAGCCAGGTGCTTCCTCCTGGCCTCCCATGCGGGTGCAGGGCCCAAGCCCTTGGGCCATCCTCCACGGCCTTCCTGGGCCACAGCAGAGAGCTGGACTGGAAGAGGAGCAAACGGGACAGAACCAGTGCCCCAACCGGACTAGAACCCGAAGTGCCGGCACCACAGGCGGAGGATTAACCTAGTGAGCTGCAGCGCCTGCCATGTTTTGTAATCTTTAAAGAGACTTCCCCCTTTTCTCATTCCCACAGCACATAACTGCCTGTTAGTTTATCTAGCTACTAACATTCCCACACTTCTCCCAGAAGAGTGGACCCTAACTGTTAGGGATATGAGGGTAATGACCACTCTGGCTGCTTCATGCTGAAAAGAGGGCGTCTTTGAGGAACAGCAGCAAAGCGTTCTTTTGAGGGCAGATTTGAGGTTCCCCGGTGGGGAACTACAGATTTCTTCAGGGGCATTGTCTGGAGTATAGGCTGGACTTTGATGGCTTCTAGTTTAGTCATTTCTTACACAAAGTGTGTTAAGAAAATTAATTTCTCTCCCAATTGAGAGCCTCATCTTTTGAGAGTCCTAGGGATCCATCTGGAAGCCTCAATGTCAAAGACTCAGTTTTAGAGCTTTAGATGTAAAAGAATTGCCAGGTTTAAAACATTTGGCCAAAGTAAGTTAAACCTGAGCCTCTTAACTAAAGCTATGGACCAGATCTAATCAGATAAAGCTAATTCCTTTAAGATTAAAATTTCTAAAGCAATTAAACTCAATAAAGGCAACAGAAAACACATGAAACTTCCCTGAGATCCATAAAACTTTTTGAAAACAGAAAACCCTTGATTGCAAAAGATTAGCGTGTGATATCAGCCTATGAGCCCATCACCTGGGGCAGTTGATTACATCATGTTACAAAGAGGTAGAGAATCAGGTAATCCTGCTATCTGTCTTCTAGGAAGAGCTACCTTTAAAATAATTTTCTTCTAATCTCATCCAAGCTAATCTTACACACCAAAACCCACACCATGCTTATTCCCTCAGTTCCTTTCTATTAAAAAAAATTCTTTCAAAAATCTGACTTAACCTTCTGTAACCAAGGATACATTGTCATGCCTATAGCTTCCTCTACAACTTCCTTGCCTACCTACTGATTCCTTCAATTCACATCCTAAAACAATCCTCAATGCCTGTAAATTAAGAAAAAAAATCTTTTAAAAGAACATACAGAATTTTAACTCATAGTTGCTTTAAAGCAGTTTATGAATCCAGGTTGGAAATAGGTAAATGATTTTTACACAATTACACTTTACCAAACTGTTGCATACCCTAGGAGTTTCAGGAAAATGTTTATTCTAGAAGACAAGACACTTAAGCAGAGTACCAACAATGTTTTGTAAAGACATACATAAATATTTTTGAGAATCATATTGTGAATGGCAAAAGATTCAAACTAGTTATGATTACAGTTACAACTCAGAGTACAGCATCTTAGCATAACAGTTTCACAGTCTTTTATACTTTGTAGGGCAGTGGGTTTGAGGAAAGCTCTAGTTTAACAACGTTATATTGACCATTAGAGAACAGAAGAATCTTAAACAGGTGGGCAGAGAGTCTTCTATAATTTAGCAAGCGAGAACATGTGAACTCTTTTGAGTCAGAGTAGCCAGAGTCCCCACCCTTGTCAGTGTAGGAGAAATGACTCCGTGCAGGAAGTCTGGCCAGTGGTAAAAAGTACTTAGCAGTTTAAACCAAAGCTGTTATGACAAGTTCTTGGCTAATGTCTTCAAAATGGTGACTAAGGAGATAGGGAAAATGAGACACATAGTATCCTTTAGTAGGAAGCACCAACTGAGGCCAGGTGCTGGACCTTGGATGCTGAACAGACTAAACATGGACTTGTTCTCTACCCACTTCTCAACATTGGCATGAAGGAGAGGGGTAGTGATCAGACTCTGGGCAGATCAGGAAGGTCAAAGCCAGGAGGGCATAGGTAGAGAGTAAATTGCCCTAGGACTTTTTTAAGATACTCCTCTCATAACTGTGTCCAAGAAACTTGGTCTGAAAGGGAGGTTTTTGTCTTAGCACAAGACAGAATTTAGATCTCAGAGAGTAGCATTAAGCAAGATAGCAAGGTGTAGAGCTTAGGAAAACAGGAAGTATGAGTACCACTGCCTCATTAATGAGATGGAGATCATATACTTGTTTCCATTCTCCACTTGGCTTTTGAACCCCTGGAATGGGAGTGTTTGAGGGAATATTGTATGGCTTTAAAATCCCTGTATCTTGAGATTGTCTACTATGGCTCTTAGTCCTTTCCGAGTCTCAGGCTTTAATCCATATCATCTCTGATGTGGAAAGGAGGACAGGTTTTTAAGATGAAACTAGATAGATTGAGCAGTTATAGTCCGACCAAACTTCTCCCTGGATACTCCAAACTTTGGGATTGATGTTATCTCTGAGGGAGGCATAA